TCGGTGCACTCTTGCACTGATTTCTGTAGTGCCCGGTCTTCCCACAGTTCCAGCACTCGATCGACTTTGAGTTTTGGGAACTACGATGATTTCTGGACCTGGATCTTCTTCTCTTTGATTTGATATGTCTGCTTTCTTTGGTTGAACTTCTTCCTCTCGACTCTGTATGCAATACAGAAGAGGTTGATGGTTCACTCGACTCCCTCCGTCGGATCTCTTCACTGAGAACCAAATTTTGGACATCATCAAATCTCAACTTATTGCTTCCCGACGAGCTACTCACAGCCGTGACCGTAGCATTCCAACTTTCTGGTAGGGAAGACAAAAGTATTAAAGCCCGTACTTCATCATCGAACTCGATCTCAACTGAACTCAACTGAGTTGTAACGGTGTTGAGCTCATTGAGATGATGTGCCACCGAAGCACCTTCGGTCATACTTAGGTTGAACAATCGCCTCATCAAATGAACTTTATTTGAGGCTGATGGTTTCTCGTACATGTTGGAAAGAGCCTTCATGAGGCTTGCTGTCGTTTTTTCTTTTGCAATGTTAAAAGCAACATTGCGGGATAACGTCAATCGAATGGCTCCAAGGGCTTGTCTATCAAGGAGACTCCATTCTTCCTCCTTCATGTCCTCTGGCTTCTTTCCCGTGAGTGGTTGATACATATTCTTCTGGTACAGATAATCCTCAATCTGCATCTTCCAGAAGCCAAAGTCCGCACCATCGAACTTTTCAATTTTCATTTTTCCTTCGTCTGCAGCCATCACTTCGACTCTGATCTGACTTCTCTGCCGGATCGTTTCTGTAAATTTTTTGTGAACTACCGTGTTTCAGGACACGTCGGTAGATAAATTTGTAGCGCCGACAAATTTGACACTATTCCCGTTTTTCACTATTCACGGAATAGTAACCCACACAAAAAAATTACAGAATTAACAATCTGGCTTTGATACCAGTTGTTGGGAAAAATACGCTGAAATTTCCATGAAAAATCGGATCTATAAAAGTGAAATAAAAAAAGAGAAAAATTGGACACACCAAATTGATAACGGAGTTCGGCCAATACTGCCTACGTCTCCGGACTACTGCAGATATTTTATTGGGGAAAAAAATACACTCGTGTTTACAAAACACTCTCGAAACCACTCACAACTCACAACTCAAAAATACACACAAAGACTAATTATTTTTAGCTCTCTCTCTCTTTCTTTTCTCTTGAAATGTTGCTGTATTTTTGTTGTGGTGTCTTTGCTCAACAGATTGCTCCTCTATTTATAGAAGAGAAATGAATCATTGTTCAGCAACCACTTTTGGCCTTCACACGTGCAACAACCAATTGCACCATTTCTTCCACAAAAGTGTACTAATCTTTTTCAACATAAGGCTGCTGCTTATTTTTTTTCTTTCTGCTGTTTTCAAAGAAAGTTGGCACACCTCCCAACTTTTTGACTCAACAGTCGTAATATGCCAAAACATAATTGAGTATGAACGCTTTTATGTTGAGGGCGGCTATTACCGGGATCCATTTGTCGAGAAGGGAGACGACCCTTCGTGTGTCGGAGCTCGATATGTAGAGATGGAGTTCGTGTATGGAGAGGTTTTGATCACGGAATCCTTGTAGGGTTCGGTCGACGACGGAGACAAATTTTTCTTGTTTGTTGTTGAACCATTTATCGGAAAACTTGAGGTTGGGGCGTGTTGATCCTATGTGGCGCCATTGTTTGGAGAGTAGACATGTTCTCACAGCTTCTTGCTGGGATAGTGAACAAAGTATGTGGTGAAGTATAGGTATTGGCAGTTGGGATATTCTATCGTCGGCCATGGCTGTGGACAGAGACTCCTCTGTTTCTGCCGCCTGCTTAAGCTTTTCCATAGGAGATAATGTGATGTGGGAACGATTTTTTTGTGTTCTATTTAATGAATCAACCCTAATGCTGCTTAGTGTTAATAATAAATGTATTTCTTTATTAATAATAATAATAATAATAATAATAATAATAATAATAATAATAATAATAATAATAATAATAATATAATTATTAATAATAATAATAAAAAAACTATGCCTGCTTGATTAAAGAAAATGTTTAATCGTACGTTAAAAAAAAAAAATCGTAAAATTTATCGACCTTTGACAACTAAAAGATATAGAAAATCTTAATTAAAATTTTTATTCGAGTTATCAATAAATATTGGGACATTTACTAATATATAATAAGGATTAATTTAATTCATTTTTAGTAATCTTTTCCCGTCAAATTCATTAATTATTGTCTAAAATTAGTAACTTAACAAACTTTCATTAATTACATATTGTAATATGGAATAGATGTTTTTTTTCAATTAGAATCTCTATAAATATGGAATAGATGTTTTTTCCGATTAGAATCTCTATAAATATTTACTTAACAAACTTTCTATTATATATAATAGATGTCTTTTCCGATTAAAATCTCTACAATATGGAATATAGAATCTATTCCGTAAAACAACTAATTAAATCTATACTTATATAAAAAACCATCTTATTTACTATAATTTGTAATAAGAAAAGTCAAAGGTAATCAATGTATTATATTTTTATTAAGTATTTTATTTAATTATTTATTTAATTATTTTATCCCATAACACCTTTTCAATACAACTTATCATAATTTTTCTATTGTGATTAAAAATACGTCTAAAATCTTGTGAAATTATTATTATTATTTTTATAAAACACATATCATTTGTTAAAAAATTGTATATATATATATATATATATATATCCAAATATATATATATATATATATATACATTATACACATCACAGTACCATGATAGATGATTGAACATGATTTAAATTTTAATCGAACAAAATGTCAATGATTTAAATTTAAACACACCTATGTGTTTGACCAAATGTTTAGAAGATTTAAAATTGAGCCCATAAAAAACTATTTAAATTTGAACACACTAGAAATTTTATGTACTTTTTTATTTATAAATATATTGACAAACCCGTATAGTTCATATGGTGGTTTGTAAGAAAAAATAGTTTATATGCTGATGCGCCAAAACCATAATAGTTCGGATGGGAAAAAAGTATTTTACCCTATATAATATATAAAATAGTAATCAAATATTATATGGTAAACAAAATAAGTAAAATTGTTACTTTCTCTTATATCAAGAGATAAATTTATATGCTAAAATTAAATTTTTATTAGTATAAATATTTTAGTGAGATAATTAATTAATTATTTTACAAGCTAGCCCTAACATGCTCATCTTGAGGGAGAGCTTTGCCGCCCTTGTGGTCCTACCCGGCTCGATTCCGGATTAGTCGGTTCCCTTGTGGATCTGGAAACCGGAAGGTCCCTGTACAAAAAAAAAAGAGGTAGAAAATAGATAATAACCATATTACTTTTTAGACTTAAACTGAAAATACTGTGAAATAACTCATTTAATATCTCTGTCCCGTGCATCGCACGGGATACGTAATAGTGAATATGAAAATAGTTAGTATAAAAACTTCTAAGTACGTGAACACTCGGATTTGTAGATAATTAATTAGTTATCTAAGTATGCAGAAAATATTTATAATCTTAAACTGCAATACTTGAAGTTGAATAAGCACTCCCAGCATAATAATTGTATTGAGATAGAGAGCACAAATTTGATCTACGATCACCCCTAGAAGCGCCTTTTCCCCGAGGATTTGACTTTACTTAAGAATATTGGGACTTCTGATCTGCCTCGACGAAGTTGACTTCACTTCGCTTCGCTTTTAAATATGGTCGATCTATCAAATACAAAGCGTACATATTCTGAAAATGTATGTCATCGTCGTTGTCGCTTAAATTGACCTAGGGCTCGGCTTTTCCCAGTCACCGCGTGAGTCAGTAGGAAGTAGGACGGCTAGTGCTTCAAATATTCAAATATGACGTTGAACCAAAACGATTGGTGGTGTTTTGCTCATGATTTCGGTCGTTCACGAAATGTTTTAACGTTGAAAATATAGTTCCTTCTCTTATTGAATTGATTCTCTGCTTGCTTGTTCTTCTACTGGTTATGGAACATGTTGAGCATGAGAAAACATTACGTAGCTCAGTCGTCCCGTGATCGTATGCGAAAGCTCAAAGCCACGGAAATATGGTAAACTGAAAGTAATTTTAACTATGATTGGAAGTCGAAACTAACTTCCGAATTCTGAGACAAAGGTTGCTGCATTTACACTTGCAAATGGACATAAGGATGCTTCACATCTGCTCCTTTTAGTAATTATATAACATAAAACAAAATCACACTTGAAATATATTTTGTCTATTACATTTTATAAAATAAAATTAATCCTGAAGTGTGTGTGTGTGTTTTTTCTCTGTATTCATTTAAAATAATTCTGAACATAAATTACAATTAAAATCCGAGCTACGTGCGTCCTTATACAGTCTGACATGTGAGACAGAGAAATCCGTGTTGCCCTTCATCCTCGGAGACACAGAAATCCCAGACCCACTCAATGCCTCAAGCATTCGTTTTAGCTTCAAAAACCATGAGCCTCAAGCACATGCGAGAAGAGGTTTACATCCGACTCCTACTTCTTAGAAGTAGTCGTAACGAAAGATAATATATCCGGTTGGGGGATACGAGCTTTCAACGCAAACTTAACAATAATTGGAACACAAATCCTAGTTTTCCTAACCGAGTCACTCATAGAAAGGGTCAAATACTTGACCGAATCACTTATTATGTCAAATTCCTTGAAACCGTAGAAATTACTTACGGTCAACCTCACAAGTCTTGGATAGTTAAACGATAATATGTCCATATACTTGCTTGACAGGATCGGTCGGCACAGATACAATCATACAAACTAGTGAGCAAAGAGAAGAACGTGCTTTGGCAGTGGGACCAACTCCATGAGCCATCATCGCCCTCGAAAGTAGTTGAGCCCACACAATGCCGCGTCTCTTAGTCTAACGTTTTTCGTATTCCTTAACACTTTAAAAGGAAAGCAAGGCTGACCAAAGGGCAGCCGGACATAATCTTCTCGAAAGTCCATCGCTAATGAAGACTCAGTGGAGAGCGAGCTTATGCAGATGGTTCAGCTGCACGCTGTGGACTTTGTTCACCCAGTGGAGGTATAATTCTTCGAGGGACTCGGCTTCGTAGAGTGCTGTGGGTATGTCCACAGTACCGACATACCTGCACACAAACTCTAACATGCTTACTCGACATAGTACACAAATGTAGAAAAGCTTCAACAGAGAAGATACAAGCAATAAAAAAAAAAAAAAAAGGCAGTATAGAGCTTGAATGGAGAAAATATTGATACTGGAGCTCTGCCCACCACATAGAATGTAACAAAACAGTACTTGCATGGAAAAGATGTCACCATGCTGAACGTGAACAATTGCCGAGGAATTTTGCGCCGCATTAGGAAAATTGATCCCTCGTTGCTATACGGGCTGCCATGGTGGACGAGAGTAAGCAAGCTTGGGCACGCCGCAAGCTGGATCGGGAGAACGACGAAGGCAGAACAACCCATTTGTATATTTATCCAAAATTGATTTTTCAAAACCACGCAAAAAATAAATAAATAAACATCATTTGTAGTCTATTTATTTGTGCAGCAGTTTTGTTTTTATTGTTACACTCTATATACTTTTTCGAAGCCTAATTACATCAGACGATTCACCAACTCCTCACAACGACGAAAAGCTTCAATAATCAATATAAGAGATATATTATAAATAGAAAAACAAGCGACCTTAGTACTTACGCCATTGTCTGACCGCTCCATGTCAACTCAACCTATATTTCTCCATCATACGACTATGAGTCTGTTACAAACATTCTAACTTCTCCATTTCAATATAAAGCAAGTCTTCTTGTCTTGTGTTCGTTTTTGCAAGACCCCCAGCTTCTTCCACCTTATGAGCTGCCATTGTTGCCCGTCGAGAGTTCCCACAGACACTTGCTCCAAATCGTGCCTCCAAAAGTAGGGCTTGGTCCTGACTTTCTTTCTTTTTTGATCGGTAGTGGTCCTGACTTTCCGCTTTGCAAGCAAGATGTTTAACTGAAACTCCGAGAGCCCGTAGTTCCCGTCCGACTTGTTCATGAGCCTACAACCCCATAAGTAACTCGGTCGACAAACGCGAAACAAGCCATTCATAAACACCATGTACCAATCAGCCGTACGACATTTACAAGTACCAAATTTCAATGTCTGCACCACCACAGGCGGCTCATCAGCGATAGCAGCATTACAGGGCACGCCCTGAAGGCCGACTTCCATCTGCAAAAACAGAGAAATCCGAGACCCACTTACTGCCTTTAACACTCGTCTCAGCTTAAGTAACCATGAATTGAGGTCTAAATCGGGATCATCCTCATGTGAAGAGAAGAATACTTTTGAGGACCACTCCTTGGAATTAGTGGTCGTGAAAGAGAATGTGTCCGGCGCCTGGGAAATACGGGCAATGAATTGGAAACTGACAATGTTCGGGGCACAAATTCTAACTCCTTTTAGCAATACTTCTGTGGTCCAGATGCGCAAAAACTTCACCGAATCACTAGCAAGATGAAATTCCTCGAAACCAGAGCAATTATCTAGGGCCAATCTTGCAAGAGTCGAGCAGCCGGACGATAAAAGGTCAAACGACTCGCTCGACAGGATCACATCACAGAGATACAAACTCGTGAGACCAGAGAACGCGAATGTGCTTTGGCGCCAAATCCATGGGCCATTGATAAAGACTGTCTCGAGATTCGGGACATCAATTTCGATGCTACACCCTTTGATTCTGTTGGAATCACACAATTCTAAGTGCTTGAGCCCTGACGATCTCAGCCTAACGTTTCTCAACTCCCAACAATAATTAAGGAGCAGGCGCGTGAGCAAAGGGCAGCCCAACATAACCGTCTCTAAAGTGCCGCCATCAACTTGGACCTGTTCGAGGCTGAGCGTGCGCAAACTTTTAAGCCGCACGCTCTCGACCACCGGGCTCACCCTGCATTTGCAAAGGTGTAGTTCTTCGAGGGCCTCGGCTAAGAAGACGGCTGGGGGGAGGTCCTGAGTATATGAAAGAAGGTCGAGTTTGAACACTTTTATGTTGAGGGCGGGTTTCATCGGAATCCATTTGTCGAGAAGGGAGATGACCGGTCGTGAGTCGGGGCTCGATAAGTCCAGATGGAGTTTGTGTATGGAGAGGTTTTGATCACAGTATCCTTGTAGGGTTTGGTCGACGACGGAGACAAATTTTTCTTGTGTGTTGCCGAAGGAAAACTCGAGGTTGGGGCGGGTTGATCCTATGTAGCGCCATTGTTTGGAGAGTAGACAAGTCCTGACAGCTTCTCTCTGAGAGAGAGAACAGAGTATGTGGTGAAGTATATGTATTGGCAGTTGGGATACTCTGTCGTCCGCTGTTTGTGCCGCCTGCTTCTTCTGCTTTTTCCTAGGCATAATGTGACGTGAGAACAATTGTGTGGTGTGCTGAACGAATGAGCCCTAATGCCGATTATACACTGTTAATAAAAAGGGGAAAATACATATGTAGTTAGTTAAATATATTCTCCTGCCCACGGTGGTCAGTACCCACTAGTTTGTTTTATATGAAAAACGTATTTTGAGAATATGTTTTTCAATTAAACGGTGGTTAGTACCCACTAGTTTGTTTTATATGAAAAACGTATTTTGAGAAAAATCTTTTTCTCAGAATACGTTTTTTATATAAAACAAACTAGTGGGCACTGCTCACCGTGGGCAGGTGAGCAGGACTGTGTAGTTAGTAGTATAAGGTAAATCATACAAAGGTTAAAGCACCCACGAAATGGTTCCGTATCGGAACAATACCATTTCCCAATAAAAAAAGGTAATTCTTTATAATAATATTAATCTATCTATACTTATATAAAAATTCATCATATTTTTTTAAAAAAAAAAATAGCAAAAAAAAAAAGTAGCAAAAAAAAAGTAGCAAAAATCTGATGCCTGCGAACTCATTTTTGAGCTCTCGAAATTTCGCCTCTGTCCATGAGTTCTATCTTGCGAATTTTGTCGAAGTAGCGAATCTGAATTTCGAGCCCTCGAATTTTAGGCTCTATCCAAGAGTTGTAACTAGCGAAAATGGCCTCGCTAGCAAAAATGATTTTCGAGCCCTCTAATTTCTGACATTTCAACATTTAGGCATATTTTGATAATATCACTCAAAAATCTCACTTAACTCATAAACACAATAAAAACTCGATTTCGCTCATTTTTTTTTTTAAAAAAGGAAAAGAAAAAGAAAGGGAAATAAATAAAATCAAAAAGAAAGAAAAGAAAGAACAAAGAGAAAAACGTGGGTTGCCTCCCATGATGCCCTCGTTTTAAAGTCGCGAGCTCGACTTTCCCGTCAATTCATAGTCAACCGGGCACCTTTTGACGAGATCCTCCAACCTCATTCTCGAGCTCGATCGTCAAAGAACAAATTCTCCCACTTACTTCTCGGGGGCACCGGGGGTCTCTACTTCTGCTCATCACTTCTCTCAAATTTCGTGCCGTTTTTCGGGAACTTTCAAACCCCAGAATTCATATCATCTTTCAAATCCGATGGGGTACCTCCCGGTTTTTCATTTCCACTCTTAGGCTTCTTCTTCGCCTCTTTCCTACTCAATTTCACCCCATCACCATTATCAACATCATTTTTCATCTTTTCAAAATTCACTCCAACCCTAACATTGTCATCTACCCGACTTCACTCCCTTCACTTTTTCCTCAACACGATTATAACTAGAAAATTCAGAATGAAGATCGGGATGTACCTCTTTGTCGATGTCCTCCATGAATGAGCATTGGCCAACTTTGGGTGGAGCTTCTCTGACATTGCTCATCGTGAAAGTAGCCGTTTCTTCATGAGCCGAAAGAGTGATTCGTCCATCCTTGATGTCGATAATAGTGTTGGTAGTTGCCATGAAGGGTCGCCCAAGAAAAATCGTGTGCTCCTTCCCGATGTTTGGGACATCTCCAACATCAAGGACAACAAAATCAACTAGCACAACAATAGAACCAACTTTGACCAACACATCTTCAATAATGCCCTTTGGTTCCCTCAGCGTTTGATCCGCTAGTTGTAGGCACATCAGAGTCGGCTTAAGCCCTTGCAATCCCAATTGCTTGTAAATCGAATAAGGCATGAGATTTATACCGTCCCCCAAGTCAAGCATTCCGGTCGTCATTTTCCATTCCCAAATGTGATCTTCATGACAAAGGCTCCCAGATCACACTCTTTCCAAGGCATAGTAGTAGAGGCTACCTCGAAAATCATCACCTTCTCATTATCTCTGAACCTCCTCTTCTTAGAGGCCAAATCTTTGAAAAATTGAACATATGTCGGGACATTTCGAATAAATCCAAGAGATGGAGATTGACGTTTACCTTCGAGAGCATGTCGAAAAGATCTTTGAATTGACGCTCCTTCTTTGTATTTTGCAAACGGCTCGGAAAAGGGACCGGTGGTCGGTAGGGTATATCCGCTGTGTGCAAAGCCTCACGAGAATCCTTCTTCGGGTTTTCCTTCTCGATTCCCTCATCAACAATATCCTTTCCATTGGAAACATCTACCCTCTCACCCGGTTCATCATCCTTCTCATCAACAATACCCTCATCTATCTCATTTTCCTTGGGCATCTCCACATGATTATCAACCTTCTTACTACTCATCAAAATCGTGATTGCGTTGACGTGCTCGGGTCGGCTCGGGAGTTTGTCTTTCATCTTGCCCCTTTGGATCTCACCAATAGAAGTTCCGAGTTGCCCCATTTGAGTCTCGAGGCATTTGAGAGAGGCTTGAATCGAGGGCACTACTTTGACGGTGTCGTGCAACGTAGAGACGATTGAGGCCAATGATTGAAGACACTTCTCTAGGCTTTCGATCCGTGTATCCAAAGGCTCTCCATTTGTATTTCTCTCGGGTTTCCGTGGAGGTGGCAATGATTTCCTTAGAATGAAACCTCCACGCCCTTGTGGATATCCTTATAACTCGGGCCTCGGTTGATAGCCTTGGAACTCAGGCCTCGGTTTGAATAGTCGGTTGTTCGGGGGTGCATAGGCTTGGGGTTGATTGTAGGGTTGAGGTGGTGCCGGTTGGGGTGCATACCCCGCTTTCGGATCCCTCCATGAGAAGTTATGATGATTCTTCCACCCTGGGCTGTAAGTGTTGGAATAAGGGTCGTTTTGAACCAGGGGGCATACCCTTGGATAACATTGATTTCGTAGGGGTCTCCTTCGAGATTTGGATCGTAGGCCGGTGTTTGTAGTATTTTTTGGCATGTGGTAACCGAGTAACCCGACTCGGGTCGTTCTCAAAGGAAGGCTCTTCGAAGCTTCGTTCACTATCTAGTCGTCAAAATCACACAACCGAAAAGGTCCTAAACATGCTACTCGCTTGAACGGATGAATTTAAGCTAAACTAATCTACGAAATTGAGGGCAATTGAAGGCAATTAACAAAGCTAGAGAAAGCACGCTAGAAGATGAGAGAAATCAAGGAGGGAAGAGAGATTTTGGTTCGCCGGAGTCTCTATGATCAAACACGCACAAATAACCGAACATTGCAATGCTAGCTAAAACCCTAGGAAGCTAAATCAAACTCTAGCACAAGACGGGCAAGCATTCAACTCCTAATCACACTTAGTCAAGCATTCACGATTTAAAGATTCAATCTTTTCCTCCAAGCAACACAAGCACAATATCGATTTTTCACAAAAAGAAAACAAAGATATACGAAGTAATGAGGCTTAAGACTAAGTACCCACTCTCACACGCTCTTGGGAAGAGAAACGAAGTCAAAAGCTTGAAACTTAACTCGAAACAATGTCGCCAGAAATTTGCCGAAAAACTTGATTCATAAGCTCCAAACCAAAGCATAAAAAGGAAAAAAGGAAATAGAGAGGATTTTCCCAACTTAAAAGTTGAGAAATGAGGGTTATCTCCAAAAATACAAAGCATAATGTCTTTTTATAGCTACACCACAAACACTAAAACACACACATTTAATGAAGAAAAACTCGCAAGATAGGTGTATTTCGCGAGCAAGGGCCGAATTTTCCCGGGATGGAGCTCTCTCGCGAGTGTAAGGCTTGGAGGATGGAGAACTCGCGAGCAAGGCCATTTCGCGGGCTAGGGTCACATTTTCGCGGGCAAATTTCGCGGGCAATGGGAACTTGCGGGATAGCTACGATTCGCGGGCGCAAAATCTAAAACTCGCGGGCTAGGCATGAAGCTGGCTGAGAAACTCGCGGGTTAGGAGGGATTCGCGGGCGCGAATTCATTTTCGCGGGCACTGGGAATGGTTCGATGGCCCCTTGATGCTCTATTCGTCATAACTTCGCGCACACTTATCCGATTGACTTGAAACTTGGACCCAGGGTTCTCAAATCTCGTTCTCCTTGTCTTGAGATGTGTAAATGAATGTCACCATGCAATTAATGAATATTATCAGAATGACTCGGAAATGGCCCGTGTGGCTCGAAAATGGTTCGGACAACTCGAAAATGTCTCGGAAATAGCTCGTCTTCCCAATATAGAATAATGTGGACCTAAACAATACCAAAAAGACAAGAATAATACGCCGAACCACAAAAAAATACGATAATAAAAATGCACGAAACACGATAAAATGGACCGGTCGACACTAAAAAAAATCTAAAAATACTAAACTCGAGCACATAAAACACACAAAAATAAGCACAAAAACAAAATAAACAACTCCCCCACACTTAACTCTTTGCTTGTCCTCAAGCAAACAAAACAACAAGTAGCTCGAAAAGAAAAATCGAACGGTCCAACATTAACGAGCCAAGAGGAGCCTAATCCTCGGGGTTTGTCCCCGAGTTTCCTAGGCCGATTTCCCGTACTCCTTAACCCGGTTTATCTAGAAGACTAACCGAGCCAAGAGGAGCCTAATCCTTTCGAATCTCACGAACTCATTTCCGTGAGCTTCTTTTTCCAAACGAGGTTTTTGGACGAGATGATCTAGTTTTAATCTCGAGGGGTTTCCCTGAGTTTCCTAAACTGGTTTCCCGGGCTCATTATCCCAATACACGAAGTAGCTCGGAATAAGAGGAGCCTAATTCGTACTTCCCCGCGAACTCACATTTTATTCCACTTTTTTTTTTTCGAAGGGAGTGACACACAAGAATACATCAATAATACAATAACATGAATATCAATAATCGTCAAGACGTACCACAAGTGCATAGATAACACGTTTACAATGATAATCGAACATAAGGAAAGCATGCCTCAAGACAATCAATCGAGAACAAACAAGGGACAAAACAATTCCTTGAATCCACATGCGGGTTTCAATGTCAACGAATCATCATTTAGCTTTAAGGAAACCGTCGAAGTCATCAAGTACATAAAGCATGAACGTTAATAGTGAAACCAATCAATAATCTCGACTCACCACTTAGCTATCTC